TGAACCAGTCAGAACCAGTTTGAACCAGTCAGAACCGGTTAGATCCAGTCAGAACTAGTCAGAACCAGTCAGAACTAGTCTGAACCAGTCAGAACCAGTTTGAACCAGTCAGAACCGGTTAGATCCAGTCAGAACTAGTCAGAACCAGTCAGAACTAGTCTGAACCAGTCAGAACCAGTTTGAACCACTCAGAACCAGTTTGAACCAGTCAGAACTGGTTAGATCCAGTCAGAACTAGTCAGAACCAGTCAGAACTAGTCTGAACCAGTTTTAACCAGTCAGAACTAGTCTGAACCAGTTTGAACCAGTCAGAACTAGTCCGAACCAGTTTGAACCAGTCAGAACTGGTTAGATCCAGTCAGAACTAGTCAGAACCAGTCAGAACTAGTCTGAACCAGTTTTAACCAGTCAGAACTAGTCTGAACCAGTTTGAACCAGTCAGAACTAGTCCGAACCAGTTTGAACCAGTCAGAACTAGTCCGAACCAGTCTGAACCAGTCAGAACTAGTCTGAACCAGTCTGAACCTGTCAGAACAAAAAAATCATCCTGTTCTTTACAGAAACATGCTCCTGCTCTGACCACACCAGTCAGCTAACAGCGTACCCTCGCACTGACTGCTGCACCAGCCTGGTCCAGGATGGGTTGAATCTTTTCATTCAAGAAGTCTGAGCTGTTGCCCACCCATATCAGGACCTGGGTCAGGTACCACTCTGGCTGGAAAAATCAAAGCACATAAAACATCATAAAACATGAACTGTTGGTYACGTACCACACTGAAAACTGTACGAGCTGCAGCCAGCTCCACACCACCCCCTGCTGGTGGACTTAAATAAAAGTTGTTAAATAAATTTTCTAAACAAAATGTAAATAAAGACAAACCTAGCCTTTTTTTGGACCTGGACTGAACCAGGGTCTCTAAAGGGACAACCCCTGCAATCTGCTGTAACCTTGCAGTGGGGTCCAGAGCGAGGGGGCATGGTAGAAAAGATGACCGAGCTGCTGTTTAAATGCATGTTCAGTAAATGCAGACTGTGCGTGGGTCAGGGGGCTCACACACCTTGTTTAAGGAGTTAGTCTGMCGGTTCCCACAGAAATGGTACCTGAACCTCTTCCTGAGCGGCWGCAGCATGATCTGAACAGGCAGACAGAGGGGAGGGTCCTGCAGCTGAGGGGGGGCCGAGGAGGAGACGCTCGGACCTCTCTGTGATATCAGGTTATCTCTGTCAGCGYCGTTAAAGAGCTTTCACTGAGCCACACTTTGATCTGAACTGGAGTCAGGAGCAGGTTCATGATGAAAACACTACAGAAACGTACAAAGCTGACTGTTTAACAGTTCTACAGATTCAAGCAGCTGAAAACTATGTTGAAAAGTCTGATGTTTCCACACTGAAATATACACAGTATCATTACACAAAAATAAAAAGGTTTTGGTTTGGTCAATACGGTGTCGACTGAGAATATGATTGCTGAGAACACTAATCGTCGCTTTTGAGCAGGTGTTTTGCTGATTTCCATTTTCAATCTCCTAAAAGTCCTTCAGCTGTCAGCATTCACACAGACAGTTTCATTTCTCTGGGTAAATCTGGWTTCAAAAACAAATCAGAGAATTTACATTTCCTGTGAAAATGTAGTGTGAATGCTAAAAGCTAAAAGTGTCCTGATGCATCTCAATAATCCAGAAAAATCTAAAAATAAAGCTGAATAAGTCCTCTGGATTGGGTTCTTCTTTGTTGAAAAATTGTTTGCAAAGAGGACCATCAGCCTAACAATCATTAGGCTGATGGTCATGATGGTCCTCTATGAACCAGAACCCCAATGATCATTAGGCTGATGGTCATGATGGTCCTCTATGAACCAGAACCCCAACGATCATTAGGCTGATGATCCTTTATGAACCAGAACCCCAACGATCATTAGGCTGATGGTCCTCTATGAACCAGAACCCCAACGATCATTAGGCTGATGGTCCTCTATGAACCAGAACCCCAACGATCATTAGGCTGATGGTCCGCAATGAACAATAGGGATAATCAGGACCCCAACAATCATTA